GTATTAGTTGCATAAGGGAAGCAATTGAAACTTGCAAGAAAATGAAAAAGCCATTAGTTCTCATTTGTTTATTGTTTGTATCAACTGTTTTGAATTAGGAGTAATTTTACATCATTGTTGCTTTCTTCTTGGCGAATCATTTCCTCATAATTCTGAATCTGATATTGTGCCTCTGACATTTCCTGCTGCCTTGTTCTTCTTTCTAGATTCATGTTCTGTTATAACATCCAGATTTCATGTTTTGACAGTTAGAAGGTTTCTCATCATTACATATTCCATGCATGTAACACATACAAGGAGATTGGATTCAAATGATCGGTGCACTAACCTTGGCTGTTGAGGTTTGTGGTTCCTCTTCGATCTTATTTCTGCCCCTTTGCCCTACTTTGCGTGTACAAGTTGCATGAGCTGGATCTTTAAATTGTATATATGTATAGTATAATTGCATTAGCAGCAAGTACAAGTTGCACTATGTGAAATGTGTAATTTCCTTATTTTTGTTTTGTAATTTATTTATAATAGGAATATAGCAAATGCATAACAGATATATTTGTAATTTTAGTTGAGGATTAGTTGAGGATTGCTAAGTGGTGTGGCTGTAGAATTACTTTTAGAAAATTGGCCCAAAAATTTGATTTGTGTGTGTGATTTATGCTAGCTACATGTGTGTGTGTGAACGCATAACAAAACATGCTCTCTGTTTTTTGCACTATGCTCTCTGTGTTTCTAGCCTTTTAGACCACATCACAACCCCCAAGTGTTGGATCTGCTCCTTGTGCACAGTGAGCAACTAGGGCCACGCCCTGCTGTTGGAGCAAGCACAAGCATTTAGAAATAAATAATGTCATTAGTGTAAAGTTGGAGCATCAATTATATGTAGGAAATGGTGATTGAGCACTTGTCATAGAAAATTATGATCCAGCAGCATGCCAGGGCCATTTGTATGTCCACAAATAATAGGGTGTGATCGAAATATGGCTGCAAGTGAAGGTTCATACATATAACTCTTATTGTAGCTTTTTTGTGCTTTTGGAAATTATATGCTCCCATATGTGTAACTCTTTGGTACCTGACAGTGTGAGTTATATAAATTGCACTTTTATGTTTTTCTTTTGTAGGTGCAACACCATTTGTGGCCTCTGCATAGTCTGGTGTTATATCCAGTGTGAAGTATCCACTTGATCATGGTGTTGATCTAATGAAAGCAGATGTAAAAGGACACAGTTCTACACAATGCTGTATGTGCAGGTAAAAGTCATCAAGGTTTTTGGTCATGCTTGTGTGGTTGTATGCTAATTTGACTTTATTTCTATGTACACCATAGGTGGTTTTGTAAGATTATGCAAAAGTTAGTAGACTTTTGTCTTGGTTTCTTTTTATTTCTATAAGCTTGTTTGTACCTTTAGACTACATTAGAACCCCCAAGTGCTGGACCTGCTTCTTGTGCACACCGAGCAATCAGGACCACGTCCTGCTGTTGTAGCAAGCACAAGTAGCAGGTCATCTTTGCCATCCTGGATGTCTTTTTCATGGATTTATATTCTCCTAGTCTTTGATCTGAGTTGCTATTATTTTTTGTTGCTTTTTCAGAAAGTAGATTCAAAAGATTGGGACACTAACCTTTGATGATGAGGTATGTATCAGTCTTATAGTGTTTCTTCTTGAAATTTCCTGTTCTTCTTCTTTGCAATTTGATGTCTGCCCCTTTCCCCTGCTCTGCATGAGCAGAGGCTTTCCCCACGCAGCAGATCTGTTTTTGCTTTGCTTCTCTCCCAAGTCTATCTACTATATTCCTATGTATTCATGGTTTTGGGCTTTTTTATGGGCTGTTGCCGTTTAATGGGCCATTTTGTTATTTTAGTTAATGGGTTGTACTGTTTTAATCTTCAGTCCTAGATTTTCCTCTGCGTGGGCCTTCTTTGAAAATCCATTGTTTTAGAGGCAGCCAACAAACATGTGCTAGTTTGTTTTAAAATATACAGTTTCTTCTCTGTTGAAAATCATGTGTTCTATAAGCAACCAACAACCATATGCTAACTTGTGCTAAAACACATAGTTTTTCCTCCGTTACAAATCGTGTGTTTTGCAGCCAGCAAACAACCATGTGCTACCTTTTGCTGAAACACACGATGGTTGGGTAGACAAAGTCTTGGGTTTAAGCTACGCTTAATATGATAGCCACACTTTTACTTGGACAGTTGTACTTCTATACGCCCTGTTCGTTTGGCTTATAAGTCGTAATTTTTCAGCCAACGAATAATATTTTTTTCTCATAATAAATTAGCCAACAATACTTTCAGCCATGACCTATCAGCCAAATGAACAGGACAATAATCCTTTTAATTGAGCAGTGATTTGAGTATGGCAAATAGCCAATTTTCCTTTTTTTTTAACTTAAAGACTTTTCTATCTATCGGACGCCTAATTATTTTAGGCCGTTCAGGCGACGGTGCTTGTGCACCAGCCGCGGCTGCACAGCGCATCAGACACCCGATGCGGCAGAAACCTTTCGTCTCTCTCATGGTTCTAACATGGGGCGCACGCGTGCAAGGTCATGGTACGAGTGGCCCGCGAAAAAAAACCCATGCACATGTAACGCAAAAGCAACACCTACACTAGAGGTTGAAGGCGACGACCAGTCATTCAATCAAAATTCATCGGCTGTAAAGCATCGTCCGACAGATTACTACTTTTCAGACACCTATAAATTAGCATCTTAAAATAAATCCTTCAAACTTGATGGTTTACAAAATAAATATTCGCTACCTCCATCAAACTATGACTCTATAGCTCTGTTTGTTTGACAGGATTTATTACTGCTACGGCTAATTTATAAGGCTGATTTGTTGTGAAAGAAAAACATTGTTCCATAGTTAAAAAAGTAGGACTGATTTTGGCTTATAAGCTCAAGCAAACAGAGCCTATATCATATTTGGTTAAGACCTTGTTTAGTTCTCCCTAAAGTTTACTTCCTATCCCATTAAATGTTTAAACACATGCATAGAGTATTAAATATAAACTAAAAAATAACTAATTGCACAGTTTACGACTAATTTGCGAGACGAATCTTTTAAGCCTAATTAGCCAATGATTTGATAGCGTAGTGCTACAGTAACACATATACTAATGACGGATTAATTAGACTTAATAAATTCATCTCACGGATTATTGACGAATTCTATAATTTATTTTTTTTATTAGTATCTGAACACCCATATAACACCCCAAAACTTTACGGCCAATCAAGCCTTTAGTTTACATGGTCCTAGAAATGCCGGAGCGGCGTTGCCGCGCTTACTCTGGATTGGGCCAGTGGTATTCGACACAAATGCTCATATTAAAAAATATTGTATGCCTGAATATTGCAAATGGAGTAGCATCCCTCGGTGCAATTATTTGAGCCAAGGTAGCAAAAGGCAGGTGTACACATATTAACATATAATGAAGAACTAGCCGGACCCGCGCAGTTGCGCGGTGAGAACAGTAAAATGCAGTAGATATATTTAAATTTGTAGACACTGGTACTGGGGATTTAATCACGCCGTGCAATCTTGTGGAACAAATGCAAAGAAGCAGTAATTAAACACTTCAGCCACCTTCTTATTGAAATCCATTGTCATGCTACATGGATCAGGATATTTTCCTTGCAAATTTTGGAAGTGAGCTTCGAAGTATTGGGTGCACAGTTTCAGATTATAATGCACGCACACCAATTTGTGCAGCCTCTCAGAGCCTAAACGATTTCTTTTTTTTTTGACCAAAACAAATGCCCTCCATTTTCTGAGAGCAACCACATGTGCTCCAAAAGTGGTCCATAGAGACTAAGAGCCTCTTTGGAACTGTTGACTTGTTCATTGCTGGTTCGTGAGAAAGTACTACTGGCTAATTTGTGTGGGAGAAAAATTCTGTTCCTGGCTGGAAATACTGTTCACGTGACTAGTGCCAGCGTGAGAGGGCTGGCCAGCCCCAGCCAGCCAGCCGCTCCAGCCGAACAGGCTATAAATTATTCCATATGGACTACCTGGAACATTGTGGAACTAGCCATAGAGTAGTCTATGGCAAATATTACTCTCTCTCCATCTCTCTTCCTTGATTCCTGCCATCTATAGACTAATAGCAATGGAAATAGTTATGGACTACTGTTTGGGGACCCACCCATATAGACTACTTGGTCTAAATACAGTGTGGTTGCTCTGACACCCACTTGACGATGTGCATTGCGAGACAATGTGTCTTGCAATCCTTTGTAATTCAGGAAACTGCCCTACATAAGAACACTACCAGTCAGGTCCAGTTAATTTGGAAAAAGTTAACTTGCAGCAGCTTACAGAGGACATGATCAGTATGAGACACTTTATTTCAGAGATATAAGTTACACACTAACAGGAGTAACAGCAGATCAATACCTGCGCTGGTTTTGCCATTTAGTGCCGATCACCAAGCTTCTGGATCTCGAAGTAACCCTCTCAGAGTTAGGCAGCGGACAGCATGTAACTATTGAAGGTTAACACATTCATTAATTTTCCTTATAAGTTGTATTAAATATTAAAAGTCCCTGCTCACATGAAAAAGGAAAGAGAGCAGCAGCAAACTTCTCTACTTGTATAAAGGGTCTGCCCCATTGAATCCTGAATTGTTTTCTTATTTTGTATTACAAATTTAAACTCAAACAAATGTTAGTAATATAAAGTACCATACAATTCAACAGAATATATGACTGGCTTACTTTATACTCCTACATAACATGGGTAGCTGATTATTTTTCAGGTTCAATGATACTCTAAAGTGGGTTACTGTGTTATGGTCTTAACATTCTCAGCATGCAATGAACCATATGTCAATGTTATTAGTAAGACCATATAAGGGGCCTTGTGGCGCCCTTAAAAATGATAAGCTGATTTGACATATGTAGAACTGCTATATGTAGTACTGCATAGTACAGGACTCATATTTGCAAAACTGACTACATTCTAGAATGCAGAAAAATAGGCATCATTAATTTACAGCAACAAAGGGTAGAATGAAGATCTTTGCAAGGCGAGCAAGAAAATAGGTAGAAGAGCTATACCCAGAAAAAATGTCATGTGTAGTAGCTCCAGATCAGTAGCTTCTGAACGCAGCTGCTCTTGTCTGGTTCCAATGGGCGTAGTAATGTCTCTGGCATGTGCAACCAATGGAAGAGGGAACTGCATCAGATGCTGATACCTGCACATTCATCATGTTCCATGTTCACAATACCAAATTTCATGTAAATTTGAATTCATTTATTATATGAAAATAGCACCAGGAGCAAGAGCAAAAAGGAGAATATCTACAGGTTCAGCATAACTTGTGGCAGCTTGAAAATGATGTCCCCATTCCCTATTGCACTTACCGGTACCATAAAGTGAGGAAATGACCTGTTAAAGCTCCATCTCCAGTGAACAGCCTTGCAAGGCATAAGTCCGTGAGTTTTTGACAACGTAGCAATAGTGAATAGAAGATGAGCCCCTACAAAGAATTCAATAAATAAACAGGACACAGAATGAAGGCAAGTACACCTTTCTTTTGTTGATCAACATAGCGTAGGACATAGAAATTGAATATGTCCATTTCCATCCTTTTTTATGCAGAAATGCGGGGACGTTTATTTGGCTAGTAACAAAAACTATTGTAGAGGCAAACCACCGAACACGTAGTGTGCACCATCCATAAATGGATTTTTAGTAGATGAAATTAGAGAGAGATAACCACTGAACGCCCAGACCTAGGTCAGACTGCCTATTGCTTTTGTTAGAGTAAATTACCACCAGTAGATGGACACTAATTTGCAAGAGGTCGATGGCAGCTCGCAGAGTTAGATGGCAGGCTCACCAGGGTGGCTATTGGTTTGTAAATTACCACCAAATCAATTGTTAATGCAGCTGCCAAAAAAAAGAAAAACACAGTGATGAGATCACAATACGGGTGTACCAAATCGACAAAGCAAGTATGAGATCTTACCAAGGTTTTAAATCTCCGGCTATAGCCTCCGCTATCTCCAGCTAAGCTATAGGCTTTTGAAAAGGATTTAACTAACCCATGTACAAGTTAGCCCTAAGCTGCCGGTATAGCCCGCTATATCCGGCTATTGCCTGTTTTCGGACGTAGAAAGCTAAATGGCTTAGCCCCTATTTAAAACCTTGGATCTTACCAATCCGAATCAATTAGTCGTAGAATCCGTCGTGGTGGAGGCGCGGGCGAGACGTAGAGTATGTCACGGCAGCGCAGGCGAGCGCAGCCGGTCCTAGGACACGTCGCGGCGCGCGGGGGTGATGGCGGGCAACCGTAGGGCAGGTCGAGGAGGTGGCGCGGATGAAGCCGGCCAACCCTAGGACGCACAGGTAAGGCCCGCCGGCAGCCGTAGGGCACGCGCCGCGGCGGCGAAGGCTGGGGAGCTGCGCCGAGAAGACGCTGAAGCTTGGCCGGACAGGACGCCGAGCGGAGGCGGCGCGGCCATGCGGGCGGAGGGAGGCGTGGCGGAGAGAGGCAGGGAGAAGCTCACTGCGGCTGCTGCGGTGGCGGAGGAAGTGCAGCGTGGCGTCGCGGCATGCGTGCTGCGGGAGCGGTCCTGTTTTCACTTTTTTGCCGTGGCATCGTGGGGGGGGCTGGGTAGATGAGGCCGGAATCTGGTGGAAGGTTCCAGGCAGTGGTCTGGTGGGCGTTGATCAGAGATCGGAGGGATAGGAAAAACGGGTGATGTGGCCTCTTCAGGAAGGCACCGTTTAGTTCCCTCCAAAAATACTAAATTTTTCAAGATTCTTCGTCACATCGAATCTTTGGACGCATGTATGAAGTATTAAATATAAATAAAAAATAAAACTAATTACACAGTTTAGACGAAATCCACGAGACGAATCTTTTAAGCCTAATTATACTATGATTGGACACTAATTACCAAATAATAACAAAAACTGCTACAGTATCATTTTGCCAAATTTTTCGGTATCTAAACAGGCCCTGAGTATAGGAATAAGGGTAAAGGGTAGATGCCTTGATCCGGGCAGCAAAAGTTAACCAAGAGCATAAATTTTACTGTCCGAGACTTCTTGTTGTCTTTGGAGTCTCTAGTTATGTCCATCTACGAAGAAACCTTTCGGGCCTGTTCGTTTGAACTTATCAGTCGGCTTATCAGTTAGAATGTACAATATTTTTCTCTCACAACACAACAGCTTCAGTCGGCTTATCATCTCCATTTTTTGCAACAAACTTGGCAATTGTTCATAGAATCATCCTCTGACAATTGTCGATATTTGACTCATTGTACCAAAGTAACCAAACACAAACCGTGAAAATCTTACCAGAAATCCATAAATGAAAGTTGAAGTAGACAGACCAATATTGGTGACTGAAAGTAACAGGCAGTCAAATGCAATCATAGGTGGTCGATACGAATGGTTTTACATGGGCACAAATCAGTGCTTATTGCACTTTACATGCATAAGATCTTCATCTCTGTTTAAAAGCATGCCATTAAATGCATTCTCAAGTGATCAACAGCTCAACCCAAATGATTTTATGAGTGCTTTAAAAAATGCACTTGACACAGTAGTTCATATGGCACTGCCCAGGCACTGTAATGATGGAACATGCTTTAATCTTCAGTGTCTTTTTCTTTCTGCAAAATTTAGCAGCCAAGGTTTTTTAATCAAGAACAAGGCATGACCGAGAGGAAGATTTCGGTAATGCAATGGTCTAAAACTTTAGTATATTTTAGTATGTTCTAATGAATCAAAGACCAAAATTTTGTATTAGAGAAAGAAGCTATGTATATGCAGAGCATAACTGGCCTCTGAAGAGAGCTAAACCTTGCAGTCATTTGATCGAGCATATGCGGCCTGTTCGGTAGGGTTGAATATGGCTGGCTGGTACTGGGCTTATCAGCCCAGCCCCAGCCGAACGGCTGGTTATAAACCACCCGCTCGTCTCTCCGAATCCCCGGCGTGCGGCGCCGTCCCTCATTTTCCCCCCTTCGTGTCGGCGGCTAGGGTTTCCCCGCACAAGCGCGAGTCCCGGCGGTCGTCTGCGCCGCGTCGCCGGGCCCCGTCGGTGGCCACCGAATCCGTCCGCGCCCGCCTCTCTACGCCGTCCTCCTCGTCGGGCCTACGGTGGCAGTGACCTCCGCCTCCTTCCCCAACCCCGCCTCCATCGACGGCGCCTTCGTCCAGCAAGGTAACCCCCGAATCCCACGCCACCGTTCTCTCACCCGGCTGCCTCTGAGCCCCAGCTCGTCGTCTTGTAGGTTGACCCCCGCGCGGCTAGGGTTTCCCCACACTCTCGTTGGGCCTCGGTGACAGTGCTCTCCGCCTCCCTCCCCGACCCCGCCTCCATCGACGGTGACTCCCTCCAGCACGGTAACCCCCTGGATCCCACGCCGCCACAGTCTCACCCGATCGGATCTGAGCCCCACTGCCTCGTCTTGTAGGTTTACCCCCGCGCCGCACCCCTCATCACCGCCAGGACCCGGTCGACATCTGCTCCTTCCAGGTGTTTCCAAGCCGCCGTCCTCCTTCCAGGTGTAGCCCATCATTTCCAAATTTTCTATTTGCTTTTTGATCATAGGTTAGGAATTACATACAGTGCTTTTGTTTACACTGAAATTCTTGACCTTGGTATTGGTACCCAATGTATTAATTCAGATTAGGATGTTGATTCCGCTTACTATCTGTGCTCTTGGAGTGATGCTGGAATAGGGAATTACTGACAAATAGGGCTTTAGCCTAGCCATTTCTAGTTGGATGTTCAATTCTTTATGATAGGTTATAGGTTCTAGTGTTATGTTTTGGCTTCAAATGCTTCATCTATTACTTCAGATTCCAGGTTGTTTTTACTTGAGTACCAGTGTGTTTGTAGTGTTCCTAGAATGGAGAGTTTTCAGCCACTAAGAGCTGTTGATTTGTTGGTACTAGGGGTTTGTCCATTACCTGTCGATTTGTTGGTACTAGGGGTTTCACATGAATACATGCATGCAATCCTGGTGATCTCACATGTTTGTACGCCTGCAAATGCATGTTCATAGTATGCAATATGAGAAGTTATCTGTTATCGTAGTTATTCTTGGTGAGCCTTCTTGCACTAATAGCAGGGGCTATTGGTTTCTCTGCCATATGCATGCATTATAGTTTTGTCAGTATAACCCATTTAGCTTGTATCCTTCAACTGCACCCATTCTATAGGCTACTATAACTTTATAAGCTACGTCAACACTGCTTAATTGAACATCTTACAAGTATGCTCTATGTTTACACTGCAGAGATTTTGGGGACGTTTCATCCGCTGGTGACCAACGCTGCCCAAACTGGCAGCGTCGTTGACTTCGTCTCGCTCTCCACCTACTGGCAGGCATTACAACCTCCGCTCAAAACGCCACAAACGGTTCGAAAAGGCATGTTCTCTTTTCTGTCGCCCACTCTCATCTTTGCGTACTGGAACTACCCTCCGTATGACATAAGATATGCATCCATGTACATAATCCCTTCGAATGTCGATCCTTGCATCAGATGAGCCAGGAACGTGCTAGCTGGGATGACAGAACCTGCTCTCTGCTTCTTGACCTAATCAACAAGCAGAAAGACCTCTGTCACTAGAACGCCACTTCGCCAACCTCACTAGGGTGGACCAATGTCGTTCGTGGCTTCAATGAAGTCACGAGGCTTGGGTACAATAAGAAAAAGTGCCAGAACAAGTACAATGAGCTAAACGTTTGTATTTCAATTGGCGCGACAGTCAGACCCATACTGGGCTAGGCCGTGACCAGCTTACTGGAGAGGTTATAGCTGCCCCCGAGTGGTACGACGCCAGCCCCGTGGTACTAACTACACACATTTCCTTGACTATTTTTTAGCAATAACACGTGCAGGAAAGTATCCAACCCGCTCGTGACAAGTTCAGACGCCCCCAATGCTATGAGCAACTGATCACGATTTTGGGACGCACCCCACATGACAGGGGTGAGTTGGTATCGGTGGGGGGCCATCGACCTGACAAAGACACCCAGTAGTGGAAGCCCTCGCACTCCTCTGGCCTTGTCGGACGAACCGGTCCTATCGCGTAGTGGTGCTCAACCCTCGAAGAGAGTCCATAGGGAACATTTTATTAACAGTCCTCGCAGTAAGAAGAGTAGCAAGACTCCATCCATTAACAACTGCCTTGAAGACCTGAGCCACATTATTAGGGAGGCTAGGTCCCAGAAGGCCCGCCAGTCCATAAATGCTGAGGAGTTGGCCTAAGTCCATCAGATTTTGAAGCAAGATGGTTACATCAAGACTGATGTAATATGTCGATGAAATATGGTCGGCAGTCTACCTAGGAGTATACCCAAGGTAGTAGATTGTCGGTAGACAGATGCGCAAGCCACAAACAAGACGGTGACGCAAGACAGACACAAGGTTTTATCCAGGTTTGGCCGCCAAGAAGGCGTAATACCTAAATCGCCCCCGTCTGATTTGTATTGTATTGTATGTCAATGAGAGATGTTTTTAGAGGGGTCCCCGCCCGCCTTATATATAGTTTGGGGGCGGTTTACGATCTGAAACTAATCCTAGCTGATTATAATTGCCATATGTGGCCGGGATAAGATTCCTATTCTAACCGACCAGATCTTGATTGATCGCCAAATCCACCTTGACTCCTTGCGCGGGACTCGATCAGGTTAACCGGGCCAAGACGTCGTTTTTGGTGGACCGAACCCACCGATCCGGGCCGCCCAAGCTTAGCCATAAGGGTATAGGGGTTAATACCCCCACGGCTAGTCCCCGAGCACCATGTATTATCTTTGCGACATCGCCATTTTAACCTTCTCCGACAAGTAAGGCTTGAGTCCTTGACGTCTCGACCACCGTTGTCGCCGGAGAAGTAGGTTGTTCAAGAATATATGGTGCTCTTAAGAAAAAAAAGAAAAAGATTTCCGTCCGGGAAGTGTGCCCACTTGTATTTTTGAATGTAAATGTGGGTACGTCTTGGAGCGTGGCGTCCTTGATCATCGAGGCGTGGGGTCGAAAACAAACACATTCACCGCAAGGTGAAGTGTGCCCACTTAGTCCCCGAGCCTGGGTAGTAGGTGACGAGAAGCACGCGTGGTGCCGGTCTCGAAAAAGAATTCCCAATTAAGTTGAGAACCCAATTGTCGTACAAGCAATACGAGATGCATCGGCGGATGCATCGTCACTGCATGTAGTCCCCGAGCTTGGCTTTGGAAGGAGAAGTATGAGCCTTGTAGCAAGGTCTAAATAAATGTCTCTCGAACTGTATGTGAGTACAAATCACATGTAGCCGAGAAGAACGATCTCCGGCGATGGTTGGGACACCCCCGAGCACATCGATGAGTGGAGCGGTCCCGAGCGTGGCGATGGTCGAGCGGTCCCGAGCACCTGGCAGATGGTTGGAGCAGATCCCCAAGCACGCGGTGGTCTGGTCCATCATTGAGCTCAAGATATGCAGCCAAAAAAAGAACGCCGCTTG